CCTAAACATTCATTGTCTGGGAAGACGCGGTAGGAACTAGGGTTTTGTAGGGCTTTTGTCGTTGGCTTCCATCGTTTCTTTCACATTGATTTCTCGTAGTGTTTTTGATCTGCGTGAGGCTTCGTGAAATTGACCATCCTACAATTCTGGGGCATAAGCCTACAGGCCGAAGATTGCATGTTCTGCTTGTGTTGCACGACATTCCGGAGTTGGCGTGCTTGCCTGGTCCACAGTGTTGTTTGCAATGTGCACCTTGTGGTGTCTTCAACATGCTCACAAAAAAACAAACAAGCCAGCAAACCAACACACGACTCAAACAAGCCTGTCAGCAAGAGTACACGCATATCAACATGCGCCCTACATAGCCCTACATCTACATGTTCCGGAGCACTGCGAACTTCAATGTTGTGCCTGACCATCGCTGGCGCTGGGGGCGGCTTGCCTATGGCGATTTGGCTTTGAAAGACCACGAACTTTTGCGATACTACAGTACCACCGCTACAAGTTTCACAACAGTGCGAACAAAACTTCCGCAATGTGACTTCGAAACTGTAAGGCTCGCCGAGGTGCGAATGCTGGGGCTTCCTTCCTTGGGAACCTGGTCGGCGTCCTCCAACGATTCTACGCATGAGTGGCTGCAGATGTTCCTGCCCCAACGGAAACGAACATGTTGTCCAATCAGGTGCCGAGCCCAGATCCTGAGGATGTCGAAACTTTCCGACTGCTTGCTCCTGTTTGGCATGGCATGACAACGAAGAGCAAATCGTTGTGTGGAGACGCTTACAACGTCAGCGTGGTGCATCAGTCCCGGAACCATTCGTTGTGGCACGCAGCAGCGGCGGATATACGCTTGCCCATGTCAGGCGTGACCATCCTCAGCGCTGAGACAAAACTCATCAAGCTCTTCGAGCTGAAACAAAGTGCTTGGCCAAAGGGGAATGGTTGGTGGTGGGGCATAATGTGGGGCTCAGCTCCCGCACAACGAATGGAACAAGAGGCTTTCTTGCTAGTGAGAGGGTTGTTTAATCAGAGGCACCTGGAGCCCGGGAGGGTGGCCCGAAAGCCTGTGCGGTGGAACCTCGAAAGCCTGGGAGCCCGTGAAAAGCGAGCAAACAGCTTCTGATACCAGACAATGTAGCCCAGCTTCAACCAAGTCCGCAGATCCCAACACACACCAACAGCCTGCAGTACATTTATCAACCCAGAAATCAACCTGAAGGGGGTTGCCTGGCGCAGGATTGGCGGTGAAAGATTACAGCCTGTGCGGCACACTTCAAATTCAATCGTAGCTTCTGCCTGCAAAAGAAGCGGGCGGACTCTGAGAAGCGATCAGTCCTTGTGAGCATCAAGCTGCTCTCACGCTGATGCTGTACTGGAAAGCGATCGAGAATATCAATTGCAGCAATGCATGCGAGCGACATTGCAAAGCCAAAGAAGCTGCTGCCAACACTAAAATCCAGCTGGCCAGCAAGTAAGGCGTGCTCATCCAGTTGCTGGCCTGTGACAAACGCCAAACTCTGCTAGGGCGGCTATGGCGGGTGCTGGAAACACATCGTTTCTTGCTGCGAGATGAACGGGTATGAATGAGGTTCATAAGTGGGCAGCACGACTGACAATAAGCAATGATTGACCCTCTTCGATCAAAGTCAGTCCGGCGACTGGCCAGCAGGAATGGATGCTTGCCAGCGAACATTACCATGTACCTTCAGAACAAACAGGAGGAACGGAGGGCAACAAATGACTTGACAATGAGCGAAGGCGGAATCAACGGCACGGTCAAACAACAAAACCGCTGAGCTGCATGGTGATGCCAGCGGCCCAAACATCACAAGAATGATTGTAGCCTTGGCTCTTGCAAAACACACAGAATGTGCCACAAACACAGGAAGCAGGCCAGAACACATGTTTCTGTTGGCAAGGCAATACCGATTGCATCACGTTGCATTGGAAAATCGCACTGCAACGCATCCACAAAGGGTTCTGTGCTGGAGCAACCTGCGGGCCCTGAATGCCCAGAGCCAACCCAGTACAACTTGCCGACAATCGATTAGGTGTCATCCCGCTGCATTGCTTTTCACGCAGCCCCTGCTTCCTCTGGGAAGCTGGTGTTGCTCTGGCGACCTGAGGAGCATCTTCGGTTCGCTAGTGATGGTACCGCTTCGACGTCGTCTACATGGACCTGCTCTGTCCACTGCGAAGCAGAGGAGCATGAACGCAGGAGTGCCACACTTTTCGATCAGCTTCTGGTCAAATGGAAGGTGAATTGCCAATCCGAAATCTGATAACTTCAGTACCTCCACAACTCAGTCACGCATGCCTTCGCCGCATCGCATTTAAGGTGTGTGGTCAGCATGTTGGCATGAGTTGGGTGGCGGAGCCTCGTCATGCACCATGAAGTTGTCCGGCTTGATATCACGATGGCAGATGTTCTTGCTGTGCAAGACCCAGATTGCTGAAACGATTTGGGACCTGTGCACAGCAACGCAAGAGACTTTGCAGGTTCTGGTAAATCAGTGAAAAAGCAGAGCTTGGCCCCTGTTTGCAGCAAGATCCACACCCGTTTCAGTACGTCGATGATTCGACAAGAACAACATTACATCTCGGTGCCAGATGCTTGTCGTGAAGAAGCGTGGTCTCATACCCCAACTCCCCACACTGTGTTCCACAAGAACGCTCTAGGCTCAACTCTGGTCGGAAGTGGCCTCCGGTTCTGTGGAGGGGGCGGGGCTGAAATTGGGAATTGATGTCGAGGTTTGTCATTTAAGTCGGCGAGGGGGGGGGGGGGGGGGGGGGGGGGGGGCGAATAGCGAGTGGAGAAGAGGAGTGGTTACCGTCCCAGGTCTCAAGCCCTTGAGATCCTCTCCCCATTTGTTTGCTTTTTCGGGTTCAAATTAGATTGCAAGTCCTATGTTAGGGTTAGGTTCGGTTCGAGGACACGTTCATGTCTGGTCCGCGGGTCATCTCTTGTTCTCAGCGGAAAAGCTGGGGAGGTCGGCAGTGCAAGAACATGCAAGAATCAAAGCCGGGCGACATCCATTCGGCAGCCACGCTTTCCTCCAGCTCCATTCCCTTCTCTTTCACCTGCCAATGCACTCCTGCACACCCTGAGGTAAGATGCCTGAATGGTTCAACCTCTAGTCTTCCACGTCTAGCTGAGATTGCCTTGTCTCCGAAGTCGCCACCGTTACCTGTAAAGACACATTGTCACATCTGCTTCTACGATACTTGCTCAGGCCATCTGCCAAAGTTGTGCCAGGTCGCAATATTCCAACCTCATGTTCTCACCAATCATGGACATGCTCGTGACAAGTAGCGACTCCTGCTGTCTGTACTTTGGTACCTTGCCTTCGCTTTGAATTCTTAAGAATCAAACAATATGAGGAACCCGAAAACAGTAGCCATTCAGAACAGCCCAGGGGCGCCAAGAAGATACTCGCAGAGTCCTCCCAACTGCCGAAAAGCTTCGTGACATTCCTTATGTTGGAGTCACCCCCCACCACCCGAGAAGCGCACTCGCAGGGAAGACTTTTCGTGATTTCATTGCCGCTTCGGCTATCTGCAGTCAGGACTCGGGTGGGAAACAGCCTTAGGCTGCTGATACCGTGTGCCGTGTGCTACCCCGACAATCGCGTGTGGTGATGAAATCGCCCCTTTGCAGCTCTGCAAGCCATCCACCACTAGAAACAGAATGTGCGCAGCCAGGTTGCCCGCATCACGGCGATCTCCCTCTCAATGTCTTGTCGGCGAACGCCGCGCTTTGGCAGCAGCGCCTATCGAATACGAGTTTGGCCTTCTAGCCGCAAGCTTCGAATGCTGGTGCCTTCGCTACCGCTGATAGACCCTACCCTGCCCTGGAAATTCCTGCCTTGTCCAGCTGCTTGACAGCCACAATTGTGTTTTCCTGCCTCCGCAGATGTTTGCTCGAGGCCAAAAGCCAATGAAAACAATATCATGAAGGACGCGGCTGTCATTACTAGTCAAATAATTGTGTGGGAGTCCCCGAGACAGGCTAGGTTTTGCGGTTTTTCGGGTGGGGTGGAGGTGACTCGCAGCGGGAAGCTTGCAAGCTGCTGGGGGCCGTGAGGCTTGGCCAAAGCTGTTTCTTCAGACATTTAAAAGCATCACCAAGACCCGATTCGGGCCAATTTTGAAGTACCCCCGCCCCCCCCCCCCGCGCAAAAAACAAAAACAAATCCGACATGTAGTGCAATGCACATGAATGGAGAGCTGTTGCGTGGTCGGCCTGTCCACGGCTCTCCACACCGTCCCAAAGGAGCCTTCTCCCAGCTTGACCTTTTGGAGGAAGTAGCGCCTGGCTGCTTGAGCTCAATGGATGAAAGCTCTGGCAACATGCACAGCATGCCACATGCCCTACTGCCACAATCATGCCGGAGCAACTCCTGCGAAGCCTCGCCAAGAGACACGCCCTGACCCATGGCTCACCTGAGCTCAATCACCCGTCGCGAAGAAGCCGGTGGCACTACGAGGCAGCTGATGCACACTCAAAACTGCTCGAAAAGTCTTCGCCTCTGGCGCGGAGCAAGTGCTCCTCATGTCCAGGCTGTCTCCATCCCGCAAGAGCGGTCGGAGCTTGGCAGATTCTTGTGGGCATGCGCCCTTACCCGACAATACCATTGTGCTAGCTTACCTTTTTCGCACTACTTCTTCATGTAGACTCTCAGCCGTATGGAGCGATGAAAATGCCTGCTTGGTTTGTTGCTGCTCAGCTGCAATGATGAAGAGCATGCGGGCATCATACAATCAGGCCATCTTGCCAACAACTGCGGGCGCATTCAATTGCACCGCTTTTGTCTTGCCGGCCTTAAGTAGGCCTTCAGCCTGCAAAGCTACAGTGCTCTGGAGCCAAAAAGCCCCAACGACATTGAACCTGCGCAAACCAACACACCCACTCATGTTGTCCATGGGAAGACACTTGAATGAAAGCTTTCGTCTGACCGAGCCACTTGCAACCTTGAAGTGTCAATGGCTGAGCTGTCCACTTTGAGGGCTTCAACCGGCACCTGCTCAACTTGGTCTGAAACGAAGTGAAAGCTTGGAACTAACGACTTGGTCTGACGAGCGGCCTGTCAACCAACAAACCTGCAATCCCACTCATGCCTGCTGACTGTGGCGGCGTGATGAGTTCGGGGCGAGAGGGGTGGAGCAATCTTGCAAGCATCACCCGTTATCGCAAGCACCCGCTATCGCAAGCTTCCCTTAGAAGGTTGAGTGGCACGAGCACGAGTACGAGATACCTGTGCAGACAGATTATGTGATGGTGTGCCGTCGAGGTGACGTCACATGGTCCATTGTTAACGCTTTGTACGTGCAAGGGTCTCACACCTGCGGAGGTCCTATTCTAAAGACGCAGTGCTTGACAAATCTTTCATGCGAAGCCACGGCGGAACCGGGAATTCATGCTCGCCTCGGCTCGTACAGCAAGGAGAAGCGCTGTGCACCCCTCACCGTTCAATGCCTGTCAACACAGGCAGAAGGGAAACTGGATTGCGATGGAATTGCTCCTCCCGCAACCTGACAAAAAACTTATCAGCTCTTATGTGAATTGGCACTGCCTGGAGGTCAGCGCCCTGTTGAAGCAACTTGGACCTGACCATGAAAGAAAGATGTACTGCGTTGCTGCGCAACACCTCCGTGTCAAAGACAGGAAACGCTGGAGGAGGCTGAGGCTCCTGCAACCTGGAAGTGTCGCAGGGCGCACCTTTGGCCAGCTCAAGAAACAGGCCGGCAGTCGCGATCATGACCTGAGCTGTGCAGAGCCACCCTCGTACCCGTCGTGCTGTTTTCACATCTGCTCTTCAAGCCCCACGGCTCATTAGACTGCCGTTAGGCCATGCAGCCCACAGCCGCACTCTGGCTACAGCACAACATCCCAGACCCACTCCCAACTGTATGTGAACGAAAGATGTTGGAAGCCCTGGAAATCCGGCAGTTTCAGGGCCCCATGATAAGTGCATGTTCACTCCTTGAAGCAGCATTATAACAACAAACTGGGAGTCCTGTGTGCCTTGCATCCTCATCGGCGACCATCCGCCAAACGTGCTGTGCATGAACCTCAATGCTTCGCAATGCAAATTGATGCCGCCTGCTGGCCTAGCACAAGCAATGTCAAACTCAGTTCCAAGCCCAACTTGGAGCCTGTCCATCTCGCCATGAAATCAGGTAGCAGCCCTGATGGCTCCGGAGTGGCATGACGCGGAGTCCAAAGACTGACGCAAACAAGTCCCAGATGCCTCCTGCGAAGTGGAATCTTTTGAAGACATGGCCGAGTCCGACTGCGTGGCCTCAGCCTCAAGGGCGGGCAAAACACGGACACGCAATGTTCTCGACGAAGGACCTCCGCCCTAAACAACACATGTACAGTTCGTGATCAGGAAGTGTCGCGATTCGCACCCTCAGCGAAAGCCTCCCCACGGTCAGCCGCTGCAGCAGGAGTATCTAGGTCCAGGTTCGCGAGGACCGGAAAATCAATCTGTGCTAAGCAGAGAGGGACCAGAGCAGTCGCAGCTTTGAGAAACGCGCTTTCAGTGGCCGCTGTTGCTGTGTCTCCACTCTCACCTGACCAAGCTCAAATTGTTGCGAAGCAAACGTGCGGAGGCTTGCCAAGGCTCCAACCCCCAGCTCCACTCCGTGCAGCCTTCCCGCGGCACTTCACCGGCACTTTTTCTTCACTGGCCGCTTATCACTCAACGCACCTCGCCCGATTCTCCACTTCCACCTCCTCAGTGTCAGGGCAACTTCGGGTTGACATGAACCAAAATGAATAGAGCCAGTGACAGCCAGTGAGCCTCTGATTTATCATGTCTGTCTTGGGCCACGGCCTGTGCCGGCGACCGCCACAGCAAGTGCCTAAAGACAATCTTGCTTTCACTGGACATGCAAGGGGATGCAGGGGGAAAGCATGCGAAAGATGGCGACACTTGGGAAAGTCAACGCAGCTCGATCTGCTTGCAGCTGGTGCCCAAGCCATGATCGCAACTTGGATAACGTGGTCAAATCAATCAAAGCTGCTGAGCCGAGCACCTTTTTGGGCGGAGGCAGCGGCCTCGAAGTCAGACTTTCAGGCATGGATTTCGGCAGCTGCACCTGAGCATCCGTCACGAAAGAAGCATTTTCGTACTACCGCTACCAAAGGAGGTAGAAGAGTAGAAAGCCCGAAAGCCTTTTGCTGTCCTCAAATTACGAAATATTGCGAACACCTCCTCTCCTGCAATTGCACAATCAAATTTCCATGGCATTAGAATCTACTCGCACACCTGATTCTGGTATGCACACACATGAGGCCGTGATATAGGGTCTTGGCTGACAGACTTGAGGCTACAAATCAGGTATAGCTGGCTACGAGTAGCAACGAATTCCCCCAAGCAAGTGCCAGTTGATGTTGCAGAAAGAAAAGATGACTCAACAAAATGTGCAATTAAACGCTAGTTCGCATCGGCTTCGAGCTGGAAAATCTGATGGGGTTCAAAGGAACCACGACAGGGGGGATCCCCGGGAGACCTCCCCGAACCTTCCCTGAGGCCTGGGACTTGCGACCCCAAACTTGGACCCCTCCTAGGACTGTTGCGCCGGGTGGTGAGACAAGTTCGTTAAATAACTGTTCTTGCACTTAACTTACGAAGCGAATTTTCTAAGACTAGCCGAGGTAAATTAGCAAGCTGCGCCGTTCTAACGTACTAGTCGCAACCATGCTGGAAACATCTGGAAACAACTGTTCAGGACATGGCAGGCTTTTTTTTGAAGGCCTGTTTCTGGTAAAGCGGGTAGTGCCAAAACTGAAACCTTTCAGGTTTTCAAAAACCCAGTTTGCGACATGCCGCATGACTTACGTATTATATGTGGCGAGAAGACAGTGCGCTCGCCTGTTGCCCAAAATCCCATGTTATCATTTCAGAATTGCGCATAACTTAGGCAGAGACAGCTGCTTGACCAAGGTATGGTTGTTAATTGCACATTTACACCGCACCTTTGATGGTGCCTGGCACCAACTGTATGACAAAAAAATGTCTGATACCAAGTGTTACTGTAATTGAACACGCGGTCACCCGTCCTTATAACGCAACCAGGATTCCAAGTAGGCCTCATGGGGCTTCTGAGGTCCTGGCAACTCTGCCCTCGTCCCATTGCTCCTGTCCCTCTGACTCTGTGCGAATGGCCCACACCAGGTCGTTTGAAGCCTGTTTCAGTGATGTAGATGTGAATTTGCATAAAGCTGAGAAGACATTAGTCAGGGTAAGGATTGCATGGCTGATGAGATCTAGTCAGCGCATTTCGCGATGTGCCTGCCCGGTCTCTCCACAACCAAGCCCCAAGAGTCTCTGCGTCAGCTCCTCAGATGAACTGCACCATCCCCGATAAGCATGGCGTGAGGCATCGGGAAGAGTCAGAAAGTACTGCAAAATTCATGGTCCGTCCGAGGTTGCTGCCATAGTCAGTTGCAGCAGCGCGCGTCGGGCCTTTCACAAGGCAGAAAAGACTAGTCATACTTTCTGCAGCAAGCCCAAGTTCAACCTCCTCAACTGGGTCGGCTGATGTGAGGTGCACCTGGCGCTTCTGGTTCTCTGCACCGGGTTGCTGCCGCTGCGCAGTGACCTTCAAAGATGACAATGGATGACTGTTGGACGAGCTTTTCAGAGCAGCAGGCATCCCATCACCCCAGAAGGCAAGTGCAACGTGTGACCTTGTCATGACATTCTTTTCCTCAAATGCCGCACGGTTCAGCTTGTCGGGCTGGCCGTTGAACCTACGTCTAATGATCCAGACACGTGCGGCAGGAAGACGTGGAATAGTTTGCATGTCGCGGACCACTGACCGCTGCGAATTCCACCCTTGAGCCAATTTTGCATCTGCTCAGGACCTGATACCTCTAACAGCACCGGGGTCACACTCCGGCTGCCTCAGGGCTGGAGAGGTGCATAGGTGCATAGCACAGGAGAAACGGTTACTGCAAGATTCGACCAGCTTCAACGACCGACCCAAAAGAAAGGAAAGGAACACAGCACCAAAAGCCACTTTAAGTGTGCACAACAACAGATTCGTGAGCGCACAATAATATGAATTAACAATGAATTCCCGGACTGTTTTGAAAAGACTCATTTGGCGCCAGTGACGAATTCTGGAAGGTTCTTGGGTGCATTTCATGTCCCTTATACTGCTACGAGTGAAGAGCTTGTGTACGCCCGCTCTGCTATTTATTTAGTGTCATTTTCGTGCACAAAAAACCCCCTCACAAACTAAAGTCTGGAGTGAATAAAGCAAGCGACAACACCTTTTACCGCCTCTGGATCTACGTAGGAGACAATCACTATTTCACCCTCGAGACCAATGCCTTCTGCATCCTTTTGTCTTCTGTCCAGAAACCCCAAGATGTGGCCGAGGTGCAGGTACTGGCCCTGTTCATGCTTGGCCTTCCTGGGACTGTGTGTTGGTGCTTACATGGACGAAGGTAAGAAGCCACTCGGCCAAGAAACCAGTCGGGCAATGTCGATCCCATGAGTCAATGTGCAGTCGAGCTTCTTGCTTAGTTCTTGGCTAGTCCTGACGACTTCCTCCAACGGAAGGACATCGAATGCCAAGCTGTCCACCTTGGCGGGCATGGCCGTCTTAGTGCGATTCCGCATGTAACAACTTTAAGACATGCGGCTAGAAACTCAGCGACTCTACGTCAGCTCTGCCCGGGCTTCTGCTCATGTCCGAAAAATTGTGGAAACTCCAAGAAACCGGCAGAACAAACACCATCCGACTACGGAAAAATCAATTGCGGAGTGGCAATATTGTGGCAATCTTCTGCACGATGTGTCAAGTAGTACGACTTCACAACGACCAGGTCGGTACAAACAAGAGAACTTCTAAATGTCTGCCAGTAGGCTCGATGCTTTCCCGCATAGAGGGCAACAGTTGAGGCAAGCGCCTTAGGCATGTGCACCGGGTGCAGCCGGCTGCACATGAGCGATCTGAGCTTCGATGTGACAAATCGTGCGAACACCATAGCCATCGCCAAGGGACCACGACGGGAGGCCCTAGCCACTTGCCGCTTGAGCTTAGCATTTGCAGCACTCCCGTCATCAGCAGAACATACATCAGGATCACCTGAATCCGACGTTGCTACCGCACAAGCTTTGCTAACTCCAACTCACGATGCTGGAGAGCATCTCGCTGCAAATGCCAAGGTGCCAAGAAAAGGTAGTTGATCCCATGGACCCACAGCACACCACCAGTGTCTGGTTTCTTACACTCCGCATACACCACCTCGGTCTTTTCGAGTAAAAGCAGTAATTATCTCCCAACTTGGGCGAGAAAGCTTCAGTCATCGGGACATCTTTTTGACGAGTTGTCGATCTCGCTTTTCGAGTTGCCCTCTGTTCATTGACTTGACCCTGCAGCGATGCAGGAATACGTAGTCTCGACATGAAGATGAGCCGCTCAAGGCAAATGATGTAGAAAAGACAGGTCCCAGCTACAGAAGTTGCCTCACTCGCACGTTCTGAATTTCTTCCTGCCGTTCTTTCTGCCGCCTTCTGACAAGCATGACAAGCAAGCAGCAGCAAATTAGTCCAACCTTTCCAGCAAGTTAAATTTGAAGCACTGCTGCCGCCAAGCATCAAGGTATGTGTAGCTCGCATGCGACAGGGTCAAGGATATGAAAGAAAATGCCAGAATTAGTGGAGAGCATGAGCAAAACCTGAAGCTTCAACCGACGCCGGTGTAACAGCGCAACATCATGCAGCATCCGCGAATGTCGTGAACTGGATGCTCCATCTTAACATGCTTCCTCCCACAGACAAGACACGCAAATGTGATGGCGGAGATCAAAAGTGATGATGCCATGCGGGCTCCAAGTCCTGCAATGACAAAAGACAAGTACACAGCACAGAGGTAGATGGCCATGATTCGTGGTGAAGCTGTCCATAACTCGCTGGATCTTCAGGTTCGCTGTACTCCTTAGCCTCCTGGCGAGCAGCTGCCGGTGCTGCATCGAGTCTTGCAAAGAACAGCTAAAATGTCAAATGCAACTGCGTGAGACTCCGTCTGGCCTTTTCAGACATGGAGAAGAATATCTTGAAGAGGTGGAACCTAGTTCGACGCAAGGACGCGCTCGCTTCTCATGCCCTGGTTTTCACAAGCAGAGAGCAGTGGCGAAACAGCACCAGATACTTCGGATGTACAGGGTGCTCATCCGAGAATTCTCAACGCCATTGTCGTTGTCAAGACTTGTTGCAATGTCTACAGCGGTTGCATGCGTCATTCCATCCTGTTTCGTGGACACGTTCACGGTTGTTCAAAAAGCCTTGGTCACAAGCCCCCCAATTCTTTCAGGGCCTGGGTTGAGCGCCTTTGGATATCCAACGAGTCCTGCTCCCAAACCTGGCATTACTCATCTTTGTCACTGCTGACCAGGCTGTATGAGTAGCATGCCATTTCCACACCAGGTATTTCGGACTTGCGCCGAGCGTCACGCAGAAGTTTTTTGTCAAGGCACCAAGACGACACACGATGACTGACTCGACTGGCACGTCACATGAAAGAAAGACCATGTGCGTGTCTTTTCTTCAGGATACTACCGTCGTCCAAGTATTCTCGAAGCTCAGGGTGTGAACAGGCACAGCTCACTTGATTCGGATCGTGTGCGGATGGGCTTTTTCAGTGGCAAGCAGTGTAAAGTGAATTGGCAAAATCCACCTGCTCCGGATCGTGTTCTACAGGGCCACTCTTGGAAACCTGTAGAGCTGGCGCTGTATCCCCGAAAATCCCCGATGAAGGACCCTTCTTATTAAGAACCAACGTGCAACTTCAACATGGGAACTGTCATGAACTGTCCCACAGTCTAAGGCTAAGGCATTACGCCTGAAAGATTTCGAGCACTTGCAGGGCACTGTCATGACAAGTCGAGATTGCCAAACCCAAACAACGGGCATCGAGGCCCTACAGGTAGCATGCGGGATGCTCAAGAACAGCTGTCAAGACCTGAACCAAAAAAGGGTTTTGGGCTGAATGCCAAAGCGTCAACTGCTCGACCATCGGGTGTGCAACACAGACCCAACGAATCCCAAGAACATCCAGCATCTCATAAGAAGTTTTCTGGTACGAGCGCCTGCAACATTGAAACAGTCTGGCAGCGTAGCTTTAGACGTCTTTGGACAGTAACGTGAGGAGACACCACGAAGTATCCAACTCCCCCTCCCCCCGATCCCTATTTGCGGCAACTGGTTTAAACTTTTGTTGCGGACCGCCTTCCGAGGAGTTCCATAACTAAATACGCTGTATACATTACAAGCGATAAACACGGCGAATTTCGAATCGCGCCCATGCGTCTCTCCCACGAAGACATGCAAATGCTTGCTCGTGCCGAGCGGCTTCCAGAAGTTGGCGTTTCTGACAAGCTCCATAAAGGGCACCTCGGGTGCATTTGAGCAGGCGCAGAATGGGTGCACAGCCTGCAGCTTGACTGAGGTGCACAATCCATCCGAGAACGATGTAGTTGAAGTAGAAGTGCGAGGCCTGGGCTAAGGAAATCTGCTTCAGTCATCCCGCAGACCGGCGCGCGTTATCTACAGAGGCATCAGTCCGTATTGTATGATCTTACGCACAAAATAAGAGGTGTTCGACGCCATGCACCTCGCACCCTCGCGTCTGCAAGCAGAACACATCACCACCGCGGCTGCCGGCCAGCTTGGGGCCAGATTGTTTGCTCGTCTTCTTCTCAGAAGTTTTGTTCGAAATGCAAGTCCCATGGGTCCCTGGCCGATGGCAAGAAGTCGGCCAGGATCCGGAAGATGCGTCCAGGCTTTTGTGCCACGCTGACCTCCAGTCTTGACGGCCAAGCGGGCCAAGCCACCGACATAGTGCAGATTTTACAGATTTCAAATCTCAGGCAGGTGCCAGTGTGAGCGTCACACCACGACTGAGGGACGTTACAAGCCTCACAGTCAAACGAATGAATGAAAGGGAAACTGACAAGCAGTCTCATAAAGCTGTTACAGAATGAAATGGGGCATGTTCCCACAGCTCGATTCATGAGAAGGTTTCCTGCTTGGCACCACTGTGCTGTTGCTTTCGCTAAACTGCACCGTGAAAGCAAACAGCCGATGTGTTGGCTAGGGCAAATGGCTCGCCATGTCTCAATGCCCAGAACCTTCGAAAACCTAGCATTGCGGGCCCACAGCTACAGAAGTGCAAATTGCGGCATGTTGTGTTTTCCATGCTTTTGCCAGGCGTGCGGCCGAAATCCTACAGGTGGGGCAGATTCCCTTCGACTGCAAGGTTTTTCACAAAACATGCGTGGTACATTTAGTTTTGGACACTGAATGTGACTCTAAACTGGTCCATCTGGCTAGAACCGGGAATGTACAACTTGCCCACGTGATTTCAGCGGTGTGCACATCTAACTTGCTGTTCAGGACGCATTTCTATATGCGCTTTCGTCGACATGCCACACGAAAGAAGATGCCCAGGGAGCTCGCTTTTCATGGAGAAGCTTCCTACAATCCTCCCACAAGTACATGTAACACCTAACGCTTGGAACCGTGAGTGCTGCCGTAACAGTGACGCTATGTGACGCAGCACCAAAAGAACGTGGACTGATGTCGACTGCC